CTGTTAGGAACCACGGGGCCCCATAAAGCCAACCTGACAGGGCCCCTCAAAGAAAACGCAGTTTACTAGGATTCAGTTATGAATGAACACAGTGAGTGATTGGATACCGATCACATATTGTGTTCATTCAGAAAGGAAGGGGCTGGGAAATGTGACATATTTAGAGGACCACTTCCCCAACTCTCCATCCTGAAGGATCCTATTGATAACTTGCAGCTTCTGGTGGGAAGGAGAGGCGGGAAGCCGGCAGCACTGCGGAGGAGGGGGCACATAGGGGGTACCGATCACTCATTGTGTCCATTTAGAAAAGGAAGGGGCTGGGAAATGTGACATTTACCGGACCTTCCCCCACGCTCCATCCTGAAGGAACCTATTGTGTACTTTCAGCTGCCAGTGGGAAGGAAAGGTAGGAATACGACAGCACTATGGGGGTGGGGGCACACAGGGGGGCTAGGGCAGCAGGGGTAAACATATGGTGCAAAGGGAGGGCGATGGGTGTGGCGGGGAGGACAATTACTGGAACTGATCCCCTGTATGTCTCTCCCTGCAGCAGCTGAAAGCCAGTGGGAGGGAGAGGAGAAGAAGCCGTATTTCAGCTGCTGTAGAGAGCCATACAGGGGATCGGTTCCAGTAATTTCCCCCCACTGTGCCAATCACCCTTTCTGCCCACATATAAGTCACCCAGCTGCCTGGGCCCCCCCTGCTGTCCTTGGCCCCGTACAGCAGGACTGGTGGTACCCTCTCATTCACAGCCCTGGTGTGTATGCTGTATACCATATACTGACCACATGATTAGGTTTTGTGTCTCTCTGTACCACTGTACATTTTCAATAAACACAACTGTTCCCTCTTAGATTGTAAGCTCCCAGGATCAGGCCCTCCATCTTAGATTGTAAGCTCCCAGGATCAGCCCTCCTATCCCCTTGTATTGATCTGTATTTTTGCTGTATTGTCTCCCGTTATATTGTAAAGCGCTGAGCAAACTGTTGGCGCCATAAATCCTGTATAATAATAGAACTGTAAAAAAACAAAAATTGCGTTGGACTCAACTTCTGTGCCTTACTGAAGAGTAAAACTGCCTGTGGGCCGTGTCAAGTCAGCAGGTGACCATACTGTGTCTCAGGAGGTACGTCAATGAAAATGCCGCATTTGCAGCAGAATAGCAATCCCCTTAAGAGAATTTTCCGTGTTCAGCTCCATGTTTCCACTTTCCTGATACACCTCTCATCCCCACAACAGAGATTTCTAAAGAAACCTTTACATTTGCCTTTAACTAGGTTCCCTTCAACTCGGCGAAGATTTACTTTGTCAATTGCATGCAGCCCGCACAATCGCTCTTCAGTTGTCCTTCAGATCTGGCCTTTCTGTGGGGTGACAAACATGAGAAATGATTTTGTTTGTAGACATGCTGTGCCAAGCAATGATTATTTCGGGATTAAGCAACGGCACGCAGCCCCGACGGAAGCTGCGGACATCTGAACCGCATGGGGGCGAGTCTGCAAAGCAGTCAGCGCCTGGTAATGAGGCCACCTAAACACCTTCGCTCCACGCTAAACTGCCGCGACCAAACTTTCCTTTTGATCCGGCTTCAGTTTCAGGAGAAAATTCCGTCCAGGCAGCAATTCCGGTAAACTGCGCATCAAAACGATGTCAAAACGAGCGAATAAACCACCAATCTGTCATCAGATTTCAGGACGATTCACGGAAATATCGCAGACACATAGAAATGGAAAAACGGTTTGCAAAACCAGACACTGAAAAACTAAGGAGACATCTTGCCGGTAGGTTTCAGCGGTAGGAGGGTCCTGCTTGGAGACTCCACCCAGGGCTGTGGATAAGGGGGTACCACTGGTCCTCCTGTATGGGGCCCAAACCAGCAGGGGGGCCAAGGCAGCCGGATGAATCGGATGTGGTCAGGGAGGGTGATCGGTACAGCGCATGGGGGAGGGGGGCGCATGGGGGAGGGGGGCAATTACTAAGGGGGATCCTGATGGGGCCCAAACCAGCAGGGGGGCCAAGGCCCCTATCAGGGAGGGGATTCATGGGTGGTAGGATTGGGCCCTGCTTGGAGACTCCACCCAGGGCCGTGGATAAGGGGGTACCACTGGTCCTCCTGTATGGGGCCCAAACCAGCAGGGGGGCCAAGGCAGCCGGATGAATCGGATGTGGTCAGGGAGGGTGATCGGTACAGCGCATGGGGGTAATTACTGGGATTGATCCCCTATAGGTTCAGTGGTAGGAGGGTCCTGCTTGGAGACTCCACCCAGGGCCGTGGATAAGGGGGTACCACTGGTCCTCCTGTATGGGGCCCAAACCAGCAGGGGGGCCAAGGCAGCCGGATGAATCGGATGTGGTCAGGGAGGGTGATCGGTACAGCGCATGGGGGAGGGGGGCAATTACTGGGATTGATCCCCTATAGGTTCAGTGGTAGGAGGGCCCTGCTTGGAGACTCCACCCAGGGCCGTGGAGAAGGGGGTACCACTGGTCCTCCTGTATGGGGCCCAAACCAGCAGGGGGGCCAAGGCAGCCGGATGAATCGGATGTGGTCAGGGAGGGTGATCAGTACAACGCATGGGGGAGGGGGGCAATTACTGGAACTGATCCCCTATATGGCTTTCTCTGCTGCACCTCCCGGGACACCATACATTTCCCCATGCTGCTCAAACCCCCCCCCGTGTGCCCCCCACCCCTGCAGTGCTGCCGGCTTCTCTCCGCTCCTTCCCACTGGCAGCTGCAAGCGCACAATAGGATCCTTAAGATGAAGAGTGGGGAAAGGTCTGTAAATATGTCACATTTACCAGCCCCTTCCTTTCCTGAATGAACACAATGAGTGATTGTCACTCACTGTGTTCATTCATAACTGAAGCATAGTAAACTGTTTATTTGGGGGCCCCGTCTTGTACAGGGCCCCATGGCTTCTATGAGAAGCCCTTACCCCACCAATCGGCTGTTTTATCAGAGCAGCTCTATGGTGTGTTTTTTTTTTTTTTTTTAGCACTAATAAGGAGTAACATTTTAGTTACATGTGTGGTTTTCGGAAGCTAGGCCTCTCCTATTGATATGCTAATGAACTAGTGGGACTGGTTTATGAGCTCAGCTCAGGAAGCTCATGGCAGGAAATGAGGTAGCAAAGGGTAGTGGGTGGGAAGGAGGACTTCGAACAAGCCATGTGATAATAAAGGACTGTAGTTTTGGGACTTTGGAGGAAACAGATGTGGTGGGCTGGACTCTGAGAAGCAATTTGCCATGAGAAGATTCCATCACCAGGAAGCCCAGGTTAAGTGGTGGATTAGTATACTTATGCCCAGGGTTTTTTTTTCCCCTCAGAGAATAGGTGTAAAAACTCCCCACCTTTTGGGTCACCCCTGGTCTCTGCCCCCTGCCCACCTCGAAGCACTGCTCCTTGGTTCCACCCCCTAACCACCTCCCAGTACCATCCCTTTTAGAGAATACAGAATCAAGTATTTTCTGCCAAGTAATTTTTATGGAATTTGGTAATAAGAAAGGCAATAAAATAGATCCCCTTTAGTTGGCAACAACAGACCCCCGGCAACAATAGACCCTCCTAACCCCCCAGCAACAATAACTATAGACCCTCCTAACCCCCCAGCAACAATAGACCCTCCTAACCCCCCCCCTAACCCCCCAACAATAGACCCTCCTAACCGACCCCAGCAACAATAGACCCTCCTAACCCCTCCTAACCCCCCAGCCAGCAACAATAGACCCTCCTACCCCCCCGACCCTCCTAACAGATTCTCTCCTCCAGAAATATTAAATCCCTCAGCAAACAATGGACCCCCTCCCCTGGCAACAATGGATCCCCTCCCCCAGCAACAGTAGACTCCTCCCAGCAATGATCGATCCACATGCTAACCTGTATCCACAGCCAAAAGTGCCTACAACGTGCACATGAGCAACAGAACGTCTTCAAGGTTGGAGGTGTTGTGCGTTCAGAGATGGTATTCTGCATATCTAGGGTGTAACGAGGGGTTATTGGAGTTCCTGTTGCCTTTCTATCGTCTCCAACCAGTCTGCCCATTCTCCTCTGACACCAAAAAGGCATTTTCCTCCTCACAACTGCCGCTCACAGAATATTTTCTCCTTTTCAGACCATTCTCTGTAAACCCTGGAGATGGTTATGCATGAAAATCCCAATGGGCACATGAGCAACAGAACTTCTTCAAGCTTGGACATGTGCGTTCAGAGATGGTATTCTGCATACCTTGGGTGTAACGAGTGGTTATTTGAGTTCCTGTTGCCTATCATCTCCAACCAGTCTGCCCATTCTCCTCTGACCTCAACAAGGCATTTTCCTCCACACAACTGCAGCTCACTGGATATTTTCTCCTTTTCGGACCATTCTCTGTAAACCCTAGAGATGGTTGTGATCCCTGTAGATCAGCAGTTTTTGAAATACTCAGACCAGCTCATCCGGCACCAACAACCATGCCATGTTCAAAGTCCCTTAAATCCCCTTTCTTCCCCATTCTGATGCTTGGTGGGAACTTCAGCAAGTTGTCTTCACCACGTCTAGATGCCTAAATGCATTGAGTTGCTGCCATGGGATTGGCCGATTAGGAATTTGTGTTACCGAGCCATTGAACAGGTGGACCCATTAAAGTGGCCGGTGAGCATCTCTAGATTCTCATCTTTTTTATATATGAATGCGGGATGGGGAAACCGCTCTCATTGTTTGAATACTGCTTGTGTGGAGTAAATTTAATGTTTTGACTGACATTCTGCAGTTTAGCCACAAGCTGTCACTGTTTTTCTAACAGCCTCAGACTGCAAAGATATTTCTATATTCATGAAGAGGTGGAGTTTTCACACAGAGTTGAGAGAGAACAGGAAGAAGAGAGAGCAGCCATGTTCTGGAGAATGGTGAATGAGGGGGGCCGTGTGAGCTGAGAATCTGATGACATCCAGGTGTGAGAGCATCCCTCCGTAATCAGAGCTGCAGCTAAGTGAAGCCGATGAGACTGCAGCCAGGAAAGCCGATGAGACTGCAGCCAGGAAAGCCGATGAGACTGCAGCCAGGAAAGCCGATGAGACTGCAGCCAGGAAAGCCGATGAGACTGCAGCCAGGAAAGCCGATGAGACTGCAGCCAGGAAAGCCGATGAGACTGCAGCCACTGCAGCCAGGAAAGCCGATGAGACTGCAGCCAGCCGAAAGCCGCCATGAGACTGCAGCCAGGAAAGCCGATGAGACTGCAGCCAGGAAAGCCGATGAGACTGCAGCCAGGAAAGCCGATGAGACTGCAGCCAGGAAAGCCGATGAGACTGCAGCCAGGAAAGCCGATGAGACTGCAGCCAGGAAAGCCGATGAGACTGCAGCCAGGAAAGCCGATGAACTGCAGCCAGGAAAGCCGATGAGACTGCAGCCAGGAAAGCCGATGAGACTGCAGCCAGGAAAGCCGATGAGACTGCAGCCAGGAAAGCCGATGAGACTGCAGCCAGGAAAGCCGATGAGACTGCAGCCAGGAAAGCCGATGAGACTGCAGCCAGGAAAGCCGATGAGACTGCAGCCAGGAAAGCCGATGAGACTGCAGCCAGGAAAGCCGATGAGACTGCAGCCAGGAAAGCCGATGAGACTGCAGCCAGGAAAGCCGATGAGACTGCAGCCAGGAAAGCCGATGAGACTGCAGCCAGGAAAGCCGATGAGACTGCTGCCAGGAAAGCCGATGAGACTGCAGCCAGGAAAGCCGATGAGACTGCTGCCAGGAAAGCCGATGAGACTGCTGCCAGGAAAGCCGATGAGACTGCTGCCAGGAAAGCCGATGAGACTGCTGCCAGGAAAGCCGATGAGACTGCTGCCAGGAAAGCCGATGAGACTGCTGCCAGGAAAGCCGATGAGACTGCTGCCAGGAAAGCCGATGAGACTGCTGCCAGGAAAGCCGATGAGACTGCTGCCAGGAAAGCCGATGAGACTGCTGCCAGGAAAGCCGATGAAGCCAGGAAAGCCGATGAGACTGCTGCCAGGAAAGCCGATGAGACTGCTGCCAGGAAAGCCGATGAGACTGCTGCCAGGAAAGCCGATGAGACTGCTGCCAGGAAAGCCGATGAGACTGCCAGGAAAGCCGATGAGACTGCTGCCAGGAAAGCCGATGAGACTGCTGCCAGGAAAGCCGATGAGACTGCTGCCAGGAAAGCCGATGAGACTGCTGCCAGGAAAGCCGATGAGACTGCTGCCAGGAAAGCCGATGAGACTGCTGCCAGGAAAGCCGATGAGACTGCTGCCAGGAAAGCCGATGAGACTGCTGCCAGGAAAGCCGATGAGACTGCTGCCAGGAAAGCCGATGAGACTGCTGCCAGGAAAGCCGATGAGACTGCTGCCAGGAAAGCCGATGAGACTGCTGCCAGGAAAGCCGATGAGACTGCTGCCAGGAAAGCGATGATGACTGCTGAAAGCCGATGAGACTGCTGCCAGGAAAGCCGATGAGACTGCTGCCAGGAAAGCCGATGAGACTGCTGCCAGGAAAGCCGATGAGACTGCTGCCAGGAAAGCCGATGAAGCTGCTGCCAGGAAAGCCGATGAGACTGCTGCCAGGAAAGCCGATGAGACTGCTGCCAGGAATGCTGATGAGAGCAGAGGAACTAAGCATGCTTGTTGGAGAGACATTTGTTCTGTTCAGAGTCACCAGCGGATGCAAAGCAGACCCGGGTCGGTAAGATCGTGCACGCACCTCATTTCAGTGTTGACGCCTTGAGACTGAGTCCAGGCCTATAGTTAGTTAGGGTCTCTGTGTCAGGCCACAAGTTTTTTTACTGATCATTGGAAGGACTCCACAACTTAAAGTGACATTTCACATTGGAGAACTGATAAAATCCTACAAACTCAACCCCAGACTGGCGTCTTGCTCAGAAGGAATACTCAGGCACGTGCTACAGGACCAGTTATGGGAGGGGGATACTGTAGATTTGTGTAAGATTGTAAGCTGTTGTGCTGCACCGCAGGCTAGCCCATACCGTACCCCCATACACTGATTCCTGCTCTGTAGGGTAATAACAGGTAAGGTGTGGCAGCTTAATTGTGCCCCCCAGTAGGTAAATTACTACACCTTCTACCTTCATCCATCAGGAGGCGCTGTGCTGTGCAGCAGAAGGGTCTCAGCCTTTGGGCTGGGTGTATGTAAATTTATTGTATGTTTCCAGCATTTGGGTTGTGTTTATTTGCCACATCTAAGTAAAATTCTGTTGTGGCAAAAGCTGGTGTTGGGGTTGCTTTCCTCGTTCGGGACTTCACTGTATCCTGGGGAGCCCCCCCCCGGTACACTGCTTACATCAACAGGGGTGAGGCTTCCCCCTCTGCAGTAGATAAAACAGCAACATACATGGGTGGCCTTCAAACCCCCAGCAGCGAGATCCAGTCAAGGCACGAGAAGCCAGCGGTTAACCTGCCCCACCAGACCGTTTTCTAGCCGAAATCCCAGCTTTTCATGGACTGACCCTTTAAAAAGGAAAAACTTCTAGAGTGCAATCCCAGCCAAAGTCAACTACAAACATCCAGCCTTTCCCCCGATGAAATCTTCTTTCACTCGGTTATTACAAGTTGTCTCTTTTCCTGCCCAGTATTGACGCCTTCTCAAGCCAATCTTCCTACCGACTTCAAAAAGCTCTGCATTATACATGGCCTCCCTGCTCCGCTGATGGGGCTCCTAATTGGCAAGAGTTGCATCCTTTAAGATGTAAGGCGCGACGTAAAAAATATATGAGTACAGAAGTGGAAAGGCAAGAGAGGAAGCGCTGCGCATGCATCTTTCATGAGCGACTTTTAACAAAGCAGATGTCTGGCCAGAGGCGTGCTGTGAGATCCGTGCCCCGGCGCTGACAGAGGCATCAGCTACGCTGTGCAGGAAGAGACAGGGAGCCCAGTGTGGGTCAGAAGAGCAAGGCAGAGATCTTCCACGGCTGCGGGAAGGAAGAGGCGTCCTTGTCATTTGTCAGAGCCTCCTGAGACACCCCCTTATGTTCGGATCAAAGCACGCTGCCCCCCCACCCCCGTCAGGCATGGGCAAAAAAAAGGATTTTGCTGCGATTCCTAGGAAGTTTTTTTTTTAATCTTCGTGAAGTGAGTTCTTTAATGTCCAACTGGACCTTTGATTTTTTTTACTGCATTGATGTCAGGTTGTCATGAATTAAAGTATTTTTTTATCTTTTTTTCTTTTTTCTTGCAAGCACAATATTACTCATGTCAATTCCCTGGAGTTCAGGAGCACTGCCCTCTGTGTGAGAACAAGGAGTGTGAAAATCGAAGCAACACATTTTTAGAGTCTGAAGTGATGTTTTATTCTAAATATGTAGCAGGGGCTTTACCCGACGTGTGTCGGGGACTGCACACCGTCCCCTTCATCAGGGCTTCAAATATCCACTGGTAGGGATTCGAGTCACTGACAGTCTTTCAAAAAGTGTCACAACTTCGGAAACACTAGTATGCATTAAGCTGTTTTAGATTAGGGTGATTAATAAGAACCTGTGTCCCCTTATATCAGATGTCCCCATCAGAGTCCCTCTTTACATCATGAGTACTCAGAGTCCCCCTTTACTTCAGGTTTCCATTACATCAAGGTCCCCAGAAGTGTGACCCCTTACATGGGGGTCCCCATCAGCGTTCCCCTTTACATCAAGTGTCCCCATCAGAGTGCTCCCTTACATCAGACTTCCCCCATCAGAGTGCCCCCTTACATCAGACTTCCCCCATCAGAGTGCCCCCTTACATCAGACTTCCCCCATCAGAGTGCCCCCTTACATCAGACTTCCCCCATCAGAGTGCCCCCTTACATCAGACTTCCCCCATCAGAGTGCCCCCTTACATCAGACTTCCCCCATCAGAGTGCCCCCTTACATCAGACTTCCCCATCAGAGTGCCCCCTTACATCAGACTTCCCCCATCAGAGTGCCCCCTTTACATTTGGACTTCCCCATTAGAGTGCCCTTTACATCAGATTTTCTTATCAAAGTGCCCCCCTTATCATTTCAGGTGTGTCTTACATCAGGGTGCCCCCTTTACATTTGGTCCACATTAGAGTGCCCTTTACATCAGATTTCCCTTATCAAAGTGCCCCCTCCATCAGTGTTTTATTTAGGCCCCCTTGTCTTCCCCATCAGGGCCCCCCTTCCATCATATTTCCCATCAGAGTACCCCCTTACATCAGACTTCCCCATCAGAGCGCCCCCTTCCATCAGACTTCCCCATCAGAGCGCCCCCTTCCATCAGGTGCCCCATCAGAGCGCCCCCTTCCATCAGACTTCCCCATCAGAGTGCCCCCTTCCATCAGACTTCCCCAATCAGAGCGCCCTCTTCCATCAGACTTCCCCATCAGAGCGCCCCCTTCCATCAGACTTCCCCATCAGAGCGCCCCCTTCCATCAGGTGCCGCCATCAGAGCGCCCCCTTCCATCAGACTTGCCCCATCAGAGCGCCCTCTTCCATCAGACTGCCCCATCAGAGCGCCCTCTTCCATCAGACTTGCCCCCATCAGAGCGCCCCCTTCCATCAGGTGCCCCCATCAGAGCACCCCCTTCCATCAGGTGCTCCCATCATAACTAAAATCTGGGGAGACAATTAAATCTGGCTCTGCATCCGCTACTAACTAGTGCTGAGTCTTCACAACAGTTTAAAATTTTCAATTAGGGTCCCTATCTGCAGATACTATTTGAAGCCCTGATGAAGGGGACAATGTACAGACAATGGACAATGTACAGACAATGGACAATGTAGCGCTTGTTCTAGGTTTAGAATAAAATCTTGATTTGGTACTTTGCCTTTCACACTCAAACATTTCTAGAGTACGATGCCACTGTTCCTGCTCCTTACAGTTCTGGTTCACGAGAGAAGCCCACCCATTAGACGTCCCATCAGGAGCGTATCTGCCGCGAGGCCAACAAGGCGTTTGCCTTGGTTGGCATTTTGCAGGGAGGTGGCACTGCCCCCAAGCAGAAGGAATAAGGGACAAGGGCGCAGGCAGGAGGGCGGGAAGCCTCGGCAGTCTCCGCCAGTCATCTGACCCCAGGAATCCAATACCAATTAACGGCCTCAGTCACCGCACCGGCCACAACGTGCTTTGTCCCGCCAACCAGGGCCTGGTCAGGGAAGTCATCATCATTGCTCACACAGCAGTGGCTTCTGCTGCGATCAATTACAGACAGTGAGCTGAAGCGGAAAGGGCAAGGGGTGTAGCCAAGCCACTCTGTGAACGGACAAAGTCAATTAGCAGGAGAGTAGCTCTGGAACGAGCCTGCTCATGCACCCCCATAGAAAGGCTTTTTATTGGGGGCACTCGGCAGGAGGGAGGAGGCAGGACCCAAGCCCCATCTTGATCCAGCAATGTGCATGAGAGCCGCGGCTCTCCTGGGTTTCTCTACCCTCATTGGCTTGCACAGCAGCGGGAGCCATTGGCTCCGGCTGAGGTCAATTACAGCCACTGAGCCAAAGAGGAGAGAGCAGGATGCAGGGCCAAGCCACATTCTGTGTGAATGGACAATATCCATTTACAGGTGCATGACTCTGGAGGAAGCCTGCTCACATGCCCCTATAGAAAGAGGATTTCTATTGGGGGCACCCGGCAAGGGGGTGGAGGTAGGACCCCCAGTGGGGGACCCAAAAAGAAGAGGCCGGGGGCTGCTCTGTGCAATTGCACAGAGCAGGTAAGTATAACTTTTTTTCATTCAAATTAAAAAAAATTACAATCACTTTAAGCAGAACTTCACCAACAATATAAAGTTCCACCAATCCTTCGCCAGTGGCTGCCTATTTCGGGGCAGGCACCCACTCCCAATTTCGATCTGTTTGCCAATTTCAGCCCCCCCACAATTGTCTGGGACACCACAGGTCCCAGGAAGCTGCAGGACCATTTAGAACATGCAACTTTGAGGTGTTTCACAGCTGGCTGCCCACATCCAAGATGGCGGCACCAGGGACCCAAAGACCAGCGAAAAACTTCCCACTGTGGCGACAGCGCTGGATCTCTGGGCTGATGTCCCTTAATTAAAAGTCAGCAGCTATAGTATTTGCAGCTGCCGATTTTTTTATTTTCATAGAATGACTGGAGCTCCTCAGTTTCCAGGCTTCATAGTTGTAGAAGATTATTGTCCAGTTACATTTTGATTGGTTAATGTATTGCATTTTGACAGTAAAATTACGTTGGTTTAACCTGCCTTGTTTTAATGGAGAGTTGAGTTGTCTGTGGAAGGAGCTTATTCAGGGGGTGACCATATTGACCAGATGGACGGAGATCTAAAGGAGATATGTCAATGCACAAAGCAGTGTTTTGAAACCGTGGCAAAGTGGTTGGAATAGGTTTAAAATGCTTTGTGTCCCCACATCTGTCACCTCATGGGGACACAGACCTCAATGAAAGCCTTAAAAGTTCTAAACCTCCTCCCTCCACTAGAAAACG